TTAATTTTGATCAAAGATTTTTTCAAGATCAAAATGATTAGATAATAAATCATATAAGAGATCAATGTAAGCTCAAGGAGTATTAAATTGAATGCTCAAAAGTTCATTTACAAATGGTAGGTGAGTTGGTATTTATAGTAGTTAAAAAAGGCCAAATTTTCTGTCCAAGCGGACGTCCGGTTCAGAACCGGATGACCTAACTAACCGTTTGAACAACTCTGTCAGAATGGTAAAAAAAATTGATCATTGCTGGTGAACCGGATGTCCGGTTCGCCATCCGGATGTCCGGATGACCAGAATTGGTCAGGCTCATTTTTCTTTTTGTTTTGTTTGCAATCAATGATGTTTTTACCTGATTGTTCAAAGTAAGTTTGTTTTGATATTTTTCAAGAAATAGGTTGGAAAAAAAAAACTTCCATTTGAAAAATAATTGTGTGTATATTGTAAATGGTAAGTTATTGGTGAATGACCATTGTACCCTTGCAGCCATATATATGATTACCATATGCATCTTCATTCATTCCCTATAAATATAGGGCTTTGGTTCTCATTAGAATACATACAAGTCTATTGAATTCTATTCTTTTTTTTCTCTCTCTCTTTTTCACAACACGTTATCAGCACGGAATCCTAATTTTTCTAAGTTTAGAGAATGTAGTAATTTTTTAACATAATCATCTATCATATGTATCAAAATTAATTTGGTAACACGTGATTTTTTTTTTATAATGCATAGATTTATATACAGGGTTAAATTAATCATGTCTATATGCATAAAGTATCATCACATTTTTTTTTTTTGTTTTTTTGCATTAATCAATGAACTAGAGTAGCAATCATTGGGTAGATTATACCATATCTATAGTAATGTGATGATTTTTTTTTTGATAATGATAGCTTTTCTCCATCTACAGTATGAATATACACCTTTAATCCATTTAACATTGATTGCTGGCAGTGTTTCTTTTTGCTCATATTCGGGATATTGTATATTTATGTCCGAAAATTAGGTGCTATTTACGTTAACGGCAAAATTACGTACTCTTTGATTTTTATTTTTTTTACATTTGTATATACATTTGATATTGTTAAAGATTTTTATGTCTTTAAATTAATAATTTCTCAGGTTGTTGCTCCTGAAATAGCATAATATTATAATTAATATTCTAGAAGAATATTACTTGCTCTTGAAGAATATGAATCATAATTTTCAATATTCCAGAAGAATATTGACGTATTGCTCTTGAAGAAGTAATAGTAAAATACAACGTTCTCCCGAAATAGTACATGTTTCGAAAAACATACTACTTTAAATTAGTATGTTATCCTTAAAGAAAAACACGTAATTTATATTTAATGTGTAAAACCATAATGTTGTGCTAATTTATCACTGTCGTTGAATACTCTTTGGCTTTAACTTTTCCAATAA